AAGACAGTGCCCGCTGAACAATACCTCAGTCAGCAACAGGAGCCACTGAAAGCCAGTCTACACTACACCTCTTATTGTAATATAGGTTTTTTAATTCAAGCAGTAGAAGCTTATTGTTTTAGATCCACAGGTTTACTCCCTAAACAAGTACCCTTCTGAAGGCATCAGTACACTAGGTAAGGAAAAATGTTACTGAGGGGTAAGAGAGACACGTATAAAGACCTTCTACCAGTGAGGAGCTTCTACTATCTATTCTACCTCCATAGTGTCAAGACTTACAACAAAATTCTTTGAAGACTACACAAAACCTAATCTTGTGTTTTCCTTCTCTTAGAGGACCAATGTTCCCTTTTATAGCTCCCAAATGTCTGTGGGGCACAGGGAAAATTCAAATGGCCTTTCAAAACACCCCTGCACTAACAAAAACCCCTTAGAAAAAAATAGTATTTTTTAAAGTTAGAAGACCTAAACAAATCCTGTAATTCTGTATCTATACAACGGAAGGGCTGGTTGAGGTTCTCAAAGGCTCCTGGGAACCCCTAATAAATGATACCACTAAAGGAGAGGCAAGGTAAGTTTTTTTTCCCCTCTCTCAAACCCCAGGAGGTGTCCTTAGCACCTCTCCTGTCCCCACCCCAGTAACAAGTGTCTTAAAATCGTAGAGGTTGGACACTGTGCTTCACTACCAATATATCTGCATATTTTTCAAGAGCAACATATAAATACCCTTTGTGTACTGATTATAAGTCAACCCTGTGTATAAGTTGGCTTATTTTCTGTTTCAGTGTTATATAAACAGCTTTTTCTCTGAATAAAAGTCAATAACTGCAGATAAAGATCTCAAACTGCAATTGCCCTTTACAAGGTCCCATAGGAGAATCACAAAACTAAGGACAGAATCCAAAGGCTTAAATGCATTAAAAATGCTAAAATAAAAATGGCATTGAAAAGATTTCTAATTTGGTATTATTGTATATGCAAAAAACACTATATTTTTTTCACATGCTACATGCTCCCTAAATAAGACATGCATCTTTTTTATTTTTTGGAAGACAGAATGTAGGGGGAAAAGAAGATTTTTTCAGAATCGGTCATGGCCTACAGTTGGCTCTTTCATGGAGACACTATGCTTCAAAATGCCTGCCAGCTTCTCTCTCTTTTCCAACAAGTTGGGGAAGGTGGGGGGCGCGGGTACAAAAGTAGACAAAGTTAGTTGTTAACCCTTTCACAGGCACTCAAATTGGAAGCAGCTCAACCAAATACTGGTTCCAATTTCAGGGAAGCTGAGAAAGGGTCAACACTGGACTGTTAAAACACTGGACTGTGCCTATGCTACTTGCTGACCGGGAGAGATAAGCTGGAAGTCACTATGAAGCACAGTGTCATCATACTTCTACTCTTCCATGCTTTTAGGGGAAATGAAGAAAATGAGCCCTGTCCCCCTACCCCCCTGGAGCGAACATGCATCACAATGTTGGAGGGCTGATTTTTGGCAAAAAAGGGTGTATGCGATATGTGAGTAAAAACACCACTCTAAGTACAGAAATTCAAACTGTCAGGGATCTGCTTACATGTTGGCCTTGCATGCATGTTGACTGTGTTTTTTATGGGCCTTTTGGAAGGAAAATAAGAGTCAACATATATAATCAGTACAATATGGTAGTACTATCAAATGCACTGCTTAGTAATCCATTCTCTGTGATGTTGTTTTTCTCTCCATTATGGCTATTTTAAAGTAAAGGGGAAAAAAAACAACTCATTTTTAGGCTCCTTTGATCTTCACTACCACTCCCAGGAAATACAACTTCTGGCATGTGGTACTTTTCATAGGGAAATGGTTTGAGATAGTGTCTTCTTGCAATTTTGGGGATGCAATACTGGCTTATTAGTATTTTGTGAAAGCGAAGTGTGCTATTTGCACACCATTGCAATAAAAATCTACTGCAATTATAGTACCTATTCAACTGCCATTCAAGTCAGAGGGAAGATTCTGTTGACTTGAATGAACTTTGGATGAGACCTACACAGTCTACTGCTTTGTCTGAACCATTAAACTGTATTTTTATATGAGCCTGTTTAAAAGACACCATCAACTTAACAAAAGACTTCCACTTGGCCTAGTTGGTTGCCTGTAATACCTTAGATTATTAAAACTAAATGATACTAGAGGAGAAAAAATTTTGTGGTTATTGTATTACATTCATTTGACAACTGTTTCCAGTTTCTCTTTTGTATATTTTTTATAATAGCAAAATGGTAAAGATCTTCTAGGACAAATGTGGTACTTAAAATACTTTACAATCATTTTTTAAATATGACTAAGTTACAAATTGATGGTGCCTTTTAATCTATGTTTGGAAATAGAATACTGTCCCTACATAGTGTGAAGAAGTCTGAATCACTGGCTCCTATTTGGGGTAACTTCCCTTAATTGTTTGATTCTTCATTCCTCATGTTATTAAGAGATAGTTGAAAGAGATGTGTGGATTTTGTGTAAAACTCTATATTATTAAGACAAGTTCAGAAAACTGCAAGCAACACTTTCAGTACTTATTTAGAGTTGTTTTACAACAACTGGCTGTTTTCCCTTTTCTTTTTTTTATATATATTTCAAAGTTATTCCATTGCTTGAAATATATTTCTGATTGTTCTTGACTTGCCAAGATGTTTATTGTGGCAGGAAATCCTAGAAAGTCATCTGTCATCCCCGAGTAGTGTCTTTGAGCCATGTACCCCATCTACTGCCTTCCTGAATGCCCATTTTCCTAACTATTGGGATGTGGTGCTACACATATGCCTAAGGCCTTAAACATATACCTGCCATTTACAGAGGTTAGACTGGAGACATGTTGGAGAGCCATGTCAGCACATAAAGGTTAGTTTGGGGAGCCAGTCTCTGCTCCCTTCCACATGAGGATTTGCATTTATCTCTGTAGTAGTGAGGCTAACCCTCCACAGAATTGTTGTGGCTACCTGGATGTGAAAAGGGACTAAACAATATTAATACAAACAAAGTCTTAATTTGTGACTCAAGGAATTTGAGAACATAAATTGTGGAAAGTTCTTCAGGTGTATTGAGTCACTTAAGATTAGATTTTCAAGTACTCATTAACTTGTGCCTTTCTCTGATGGTACCAAAGGCAAGGTGTTCAAAGGTGTAAGCACACACAACAAAGCTTGAAGGGAAGCTTCAGAAACTCTGAAAATGAAGGCTAATGTGTCTCCATCTAGTGGAGCACGCAAAGCTAGTGGATGCTTTTAAAAATGCTGACTTTAAATTCCTTGTGCTTCATTTTCCCACTTCTTTAGAATAAGGGAAAACATATCCACCTTTGTAGAGACCTTGATGAAAACCACTACCTAAATACTAAAAATTAAAATTATTTAGTTTTATTTTTACTTGAGATCATCCAATTATTCATGTAAATAGCACACCGCATATAACCATTACCAGAAAGGCTTTCAACAATTCAAAAGCCACATTCCAAATCCTCTGTGAAGAAAAGTATGTTTTTGTGAGATATATTGGGGAAACATTTTCTTCTTCATATATAATATCAATGTCTACAGTGTTGGAGTATACTCACATTAAATAGGCTTTGCAGTTGATTAAATGCCTTAACTTTTCTTCAGTATTTAATCAACAGCAAACACTGGTTATGGCTTTGTATACTGTAGCGCAACAGAATAAAATTTGTTTTTATGTAGATCCTCTCACATTGAGATTAGTTACTAATGTAGTGACTCTGTAGGCAAACAGAGTGGCAATTATATACTCAGCCGTAGCTCACAATCCAACTTAGACATTAGAACCTGTTTTATTGAGAGAGAGAAAATGTTGACATCATTACAGTGTTGACTATATTACATTATTGTTTAAATGTAAGCTGTAAAATGTCTCATGCCACAGTTATGATAAATCCTTCTTTGGCATTTCACTTTGAAACAAATTTGAAGCAACTGTGAAAATAAAGTAGGTATTTGTTTTAAACAGAAGACCTTTTTTAATCATACTGTGTTTTTAGGGTTCTGAATTGCATGTTCCAACATAATTTAGAAGGACATAATGAGACTATGCCCAAGATGACTAGAAATCGTTATTGATTTCTGATTAATCACTGATTGATTTATACAGTATCTGTTCAGAAATAAAACAAGGGATAGAGAATCTGCAAACAGGCATATATAACCTAAATATAAGTTTAGGTTACACAAATGCCAGGCTATAAATTTAGGAGTAAGGGTTCAATTGAGCGAGGTACAGAGTACTGTCTACATGTACTTATACCAGTATGAATAAAGAATTCTCTGTATCTCACAGGACTTGATTTAGAGTAAAACTGCCCACCGTTTTTGTTAAATAATCAAATGAATAAAAATTAAACAAGGCAGAGAAGGTCCTTTTCTAACTTGACCCAGACCTTCCTACAGTAGTAATCTGTGCTATTTCAGGAATTTGAAAGATGTTCTGGTTCACAACTTTTGCGGCCATCTAACCACCCAAAGCTGTTTGTTAAGGGCTGTAGTTCCCTGGTGAGGTCCCACCCATGAACTATCTCTAGACTCTAGCAATGATTCACTTTTGTATTGCAAACTATTTGACAAGTATGTTCCCCACCAGCACCAATTCATCACATACTCTTACTGTAAGGTGAATCCCCCTCTCCCCTAACCCACCTTTTAAAAGGTGGAAAGAAGGGGTGTTTGAGCAGTTACTCTTCTGGATCATGCTTGCTGATCAGGAATGCTGACTAAACAAGGTCTGCAGTGAACTGAGCCTGCTGCCACTAGCCAAAGCAATTCACTACCTTCCCACAAATAACCCAACATGTACCATTCCTGTTGAAACTGAAGTCAGAGCCTGTGGCCCACAGGATTTCCCCCTGGGGAACCATGGTAGCTTTCAGTTACTGGGTGTGAAATGGACAATCCCCTAATGAACTCCCACTG